CCTTCTGGATATAAATTAAATTTAAGAGTTATTAACCAGTTGCAGTATATGGATTGTATTTGGATTCTGTTTGGAAAAAATAAACTTATTTGAGACAATCACAAAAATTTTAACACTGGCTTGGTATTTGATGATATTAAGGAATTTACTTCATTGTATGAGGTATAATAATGATACTGTGATGTTGTTAAAGAGTCCTTATTTTTGACTCCATGGATGAAATGATATGATGCCTAGGATTTGCCTTACAATAATCCAAAGCAGATGGAGGGTAGAGGTGGGGGGTCATGCAGGAATTGGGTGATGAATGAGTGGTTGAAAGATTGGCTACGAATTGATCATTGTTAAAGCTAGGTGATAGATAAGTCCATGGGTCTTTATTTTACTGGTCACTACATTTTTGTACATGATTAAGATCTGCCATAATAAAAAATTAATCTTCACATCTCTACTGTCTACAGGAAAAAAATAAAGACTATTCTAAAAAGAAAGTCTCCTGAATATCATCCTTATTATTTTCCTCAAGGTTTTCTTTTTTTAATATCTAGATGGTGAGATTTTATAAACGAACATATATAAATAATGCAAGAAAGGTAATGTGCATTATTCAGATAGTATTTCATTACTCTGTCTTCTCTAAATACTGTAAGTTCCTGCATCCAGATAAGACCCTTTCCAGCTCCAGAAAGTTGGCCTGGCTTCCATGGTGCAAGGAAATCCAGCAATGTCTAGAAACCTGGCTGGAGCCAGGGGCCTGGTTGAGGTGGCACGGCTGAGAGTTCAAATGAGGCCACCTTATAAATGAGACCTTGGCAAGGACACTCGTGTGGAAATATAAGCAAGCCAATCTGTATATAAAAGTGGAAATGAATAAAGAAGGGATACTCTAGTATTTTAAATCAAGAATATGCCACTTGGGTTTTAGACATGAACATCTCCTCCAAGTATATTCAAACACGATGACGGAGATTCCTTTCACCGATAAAAAAGAGAAGCAGGGGGACACTGAGTTTGAAGGCAGAGGACATGAAATTAAGGGAGTTCCCTTGCGATGGCTTCGTTTTCTGTATGAAGGTGCTATCACCTTCTAAAATGAAAGAAAAGGTAGTAAAGAGGGGGGATTAAGAAGAAAGAAGATAGTCTAAAATAATTGCTGTAGAAAACTAACTTAACAAGAAAAACAGAGAACATGTTAGCCAGCAAAATGGGGCTAGTGTTTTTTTAGTGGCATCAATTTAAGTGATTCCTCAGAAATGCTCAGATAGGTAGGTTTGAAGGTCAAAGGTTTCTTTGGTTTAGAGTGTGTGCTGGGAGGACACGAGGAATGGCAAGAATGAGCATGAAGGGTGTGCAAGCGTCTAGGTTCCTTAGAAAAGGAAAGTAAGACAGGCACCCGGTAAAGGGGAAATAGAGGATCAGAAGTACTGACGGTCTCAATCATGTCAGAAAGCAATGGGAATAAAAGAGAGAATGCTCTGAAAAGAAAGTTGGAGACAAATGTGATATATTTAATTTTAAATGTTTAGACTTAAAATTTTTCTGGAAGAATAAACAGAGAATACTCAGGAAAATTCTGAAAAAGAAGGATAGCAGAGAAGACACGCCATACAAATATGAATAATCAGAAGCTTCTATTAATTGGAACAGCTTTCTGTTGGTTCAGAAATAAATCAATGGAACAGAGTCCGGAAATACATCTAAGAGATATGGGAATCTAATAGTTGATAAAGGAAGAATTTC